AACCCGTTTGCGGGCCTGATCCGGCCCGCGGGCCGGACGTGTGACACCCCTGCTCTAAGAGCTTTGCACATCTGGATTGTACAATATTAGCACATTATTCTTTTTACAATTCTTCAAGCTTTGTCAAGTTGGTTTTTGATCATTGCTAGACAGACATTTTCAAGTCTTGCCATAGATTTTCAAGACAATTTAACTCAAAACTGTAACTAGGCCGCTCAGGAACATTCAATATAGTCTTGATAAGCAACTCCAGTGTATATTTGGCCTTGTGTTTTTTGTTATTGTCCTGCTGAAAGGTGAATTAATCTCCCAGTGCCTGTTGGAAAGCAGACTGAAACAGGTTTTCCTCTAGGAATTTGCCTGTGCTTTGCTCTATTCCGTTTATTTTTATCCCCAAAAAACTCCCTAGTCCTTGCTGATGACAAGCATACCCAGTACATGATGCAGCCACCACCATGCTTGAAAATATGAATGGTACTAAGTGACGTGTTGGATTTGCCCCAAATACACTGCTCAAAAAAATAAAGGGAACACTAAAATAACACATCCTAGATCTGAATGAATGAAATAATCTTATTAAATACTTTTTTCTTTACATAGTTGAATGTGCTGACAACAAAATCACACAGAAATTATCAATGGAAATCAAATTTATCAACCCATGGAGGTCTGGATTTGGAGTCACCCTCAAAATTAAAGCGAAAACCACACTACAGGCTGATCCAACTTTGATGTAATGTCCTTAAAACAAGTCAAAATGAGGCTCAGTAGTGTGTGTGGCCTCCACGTGCCTGTATGACCTCCCTACAACGCCTGGGCATGCTCCTGATGAGGTGGCGGATGGTCTCCTGAGGGATCTCCTCCCAGACCTGGACTAAAGCATCCGTCAACTCCTGGACAGTCTGTGGTGCAACGTGGCGTTGGTGGATGGAGCGAGACATGATGTCCCAGATGTGCTCAATTGGATTCAGGTCTGGGGAATGGGCGGTCTAGTCCATAGCATCAATGCCTTCCTCTTGCAGGAACTGCTGACACACTCCAGCCACATGAGGTCTAGCATTGTCTTGCATTAGGAGGAACCCAGGGCCAACCGCACCAGCATATGGTCTCACAAGGGGTCTGAGGATCTCATCTCGGTACCTAATGGCAGTCAGGCTACCTCTGGCGAGCACATGGAGGGCTGTGCGGCCCCCCAAAGAAATGCCACCCCACACCATGACTGACCCACCACCAAACCGGTCATGCTGGAGGATGTTGCAGGCAGCAGAACGTTCTCCACGGCGTCTCCAGACTCTGTCACGTCTGTCACATGTGCTCAGTGTGAACCTGCTTTCATCTGTGAAGAGCACAGGGCGCCAGTGGCGAATTTGCCAATCTTGGTGTTCTCTGGCAAATGCCAAACGTCCTGCACGGTGTTGGGCTGTAAGCACAACCCCCACCTGTGGACGTCGGGCCCTCATACCACCCTCATGGAGTCTGTTTCTGACCGTTTGAGCAGACACATGCACATTTGTGGCCTGCTGGAGGTCATTTTGCAGGGCTCTGGCAGTGCTCCTCCTGCTCCTCCTTGCACAAAGGCGGAGGTAGCGGTCCTGCTGCTGGGTTGTTGCCGTCCTACGGCCTCCTCCATGTCTCCTGATGTACTGGCCTGTCTCCTGGTAGCGCCTCCATGCTCTGGACACTACGCTGACACACAGCAAACCTTCTTGCCACAGCTCGCATTGATGTGCCGTCCTGGATGAGCTGCACTACCTGAGCCACTTGTGTGGGTTGTAGACTCCGTCTCATGCTACCACTAGAGTGAAAGCACCACCAGCATTCAAAAGTGACCAAAACATCAGCCAGGAAGCATAGGAACTGAGAAGTGGTCTGTGGTCACCACCTGCAGAACCACTTCTTTATTGGGGGTGTCTTGCTAATTGCCTATAATTTCCACCTGTTGTCTATTCCATTTGCACAACAGCATGTGAAATGTATTGTCAATCAGTGTTGCTTCCTAAGTGGACAGTTTGATTTCACAGAAGTGTGATTGACTTGGAGTTACATTGTGTTGTTTAAGTGTTCCCTTTATTTTTTTGAGCAGTGTATAATGCTTTGTATTCAGGACATAAAGGTAATTTCTTTGGCAAATCTTTTCGCAATTTTACTTTAGTGCCTTATTGCAACCAGGATGCATGTCGTCCGGGTTAGGGGAGGGTTTGGCCGGGGGGCTTTATTTGGCTCATTGCGCTCTAGTGACTCCTTGTGGCAGGCCTGGTGCCTGCAGGCTGACTTCGGCCGTCAGTTGAACAGTGTTTCCTCCGACACATTGGTGCAGCTGGCTTCCGGGTTAAGCGAGCGGGTGTAAAGAAGCGTGGCTTGGTGGGTCATGTTTCGGAGTACGCATGACTCGACCTTCGCCTCTCCCGAGCCCGTTGGGGAGTTAAAGCGATGAGACAAGATCGTAATCACGAAATTGGGGAGAAAAAGGGGGTAAAAAAAAAAAAAAGATATATATTTAACTTCTCCATGCTCAAAGGATTATTCAATGTCTGCTTTATTTTATTTTTCTACCCATCTACCAATAGGTGCCCTTCTTTGTGAAGCATTGGAAAACTTCCCTGGTCTTTGTGGTTGAATCTGTGTTTGAAATTCATTGCTGGAATGAGGGACCTTACAGATAATTTTATGTGTGGGGTACAGAGATGAGGTAGTCATTAAAAAATCATGTTAAACACTATTTTTTACTCCTGAACTTATGTAGGCTTGCCATAACAAAGGGGTTGAATACTTATTTACTTAATTTTCTATTAATTTGAAAACAATTCAAAAAACATCATTCCACATTGACATTATGGAGTATTGTATGTAGGTAGGCCAGTTAATAAAAGTCTCTATATAATCCATTTTAAATTCAGGCTGTAACACAAAAAAAATGTGGAAGAAGTCAAGGGTTGTGAATACTTTCTGAAGGCACTGTATACATCTGAGAGTTGCAGTGACGCTTTACCCAACCCTGTGAGATAGTTTACCATATGGTTTCCATCTTGTAGGCTTTCGCCAAAGATGGCTTAAACAATGAGCTCGTCATTGTCCCACAGTCAGTTTGATTTTCCAAATAGCGTCTCTGGAATTGGCCCTTCACTGTCAGCAGAGTTGACATTGAGCAGAGCAGTCTTCAGACAACTCTGGAAAGTCTTTCTTGCCTTGCAGGCTTGCGTTCCCATCGGCTTCTGTTGATGTGGGTTCCTAAATAACAGTGACAGCCGGTGTAAGCTGATACAATTGCTTCGTCAGCCCCCACATGATATGCAAAGCCCTTTTGATGCCTCAACAGTTGGTAACAAAGCTGCCTCAGCAGTTTGTGGTGGGATACAGCACCAAGGAATTTATATCTTTCTCATAGGGGAAATCCTAGCTCCAATTAGCTGAAAATGGAGCAATGCATGATGGTTCATGATTTAGAAGCAGTGTCCTTCTTGTAAATTGTACTCAATATAAACACAAGTGAAAGTACTTTCGGCTATTTATCTGTGGTGAAGAGAGTGGAGTCACTCAGAAAATGTGTCCCTGGAATAGGGTAGCGTATTTTGTTTGTAGTCTGTAGAGCAGGGTTGCCCAATTCCAGTCCTGGAGGGCCAAAACACTTCTGGTTTTAATCCTCTCCCTCTAAACAGGGACTGATTTAAGACCTTGGACACCAGGTGTGTGCGATTAACTACCACGTAGAAAAATAAACAAGTGTTTTGGCCCTCCAGGACTGGAATTGGGCAGCCCTGCTGTAGAGGGAATGTTGATTCCCCTGCAATGTGTCGGACAATGCAGCCGGCTTATTTCTGCTCCGTTGGAGAATGGCTCTTCACTTTTTCAGGGGAAATTTGGCTCTGGGATCTACAATTTGCAGTGGAGGATTTGTGAACAAAAGTTTGCGTGCATTCCAACTCCATTGTTCTCTCCGAAAGCTGAGGTTTTTCACTTGATAGCTTTTCCAAATTTTTCCTAATGGAGAAAACAACTGGGCCCATACTTTGAAAGGCTTAGACCTTTTTCCAGACCCATTGTCTTGAATGAGGGGTTTTGGTTTTAGTCTTTCATATTGAGGGGGTGGGTGATTCTGGTGTTGGATGTGGAGGATGCCTTTGCAGTTGCCTTGGAATTAAATTGAGGAGTGAAGCTGGGGTCATACAGTCTCAAGAAATCTAATCTTCCTATGGTGTAAAAAAATGGCTGGCATTAGAAGAAAAAAAATGGTTCTTTACTGGGAATGGCTTATTCACACACATCTCTGGTCTGTTATGTTTCCATTGAACCTTGGATTGAAAATGCAGCATAACCTAGGATTGAAAATAAGCAATCTAATGAAAGCAAGGTCTTGCAGCTCACCTTACTGGTATGCATGCATCACTTTGCCAGCTCACCATTTTAAATGCGTTATTTCATGTTACATGGACGGTCAACACCAGCTGAACACGTGAGTGTGTATTAAACATATTGTGTGTGTGTGTGTGTGTCTCTCTCTTTCCTGGCAGTGTCTAAGAAGCACGGGAAGCTGATCACGTTCCTGCGCACTTTCATGAAGTCCAGGCCCACCAAACAGAAGCTGAAGCAGCGGGGTATCCTCCGGGAGAGGGTGTTTGGCTGTGACCTGGGGGAGCACCTCCTCAACTCGTGCCACGATGGTGAGACTCTCTCCCTTTCTCTCTCTCTCACAAACACACAGGTACATTATATCTCTGACACATAAATACAGAAGTTATTGAGCTTTGACCTCAACTGTGGTATTGAAGGCTTGAAACGCACACATGCAAACACTAAAATACTGAGAGGTATTCTCAGTTCTCAGGATTAACGGTCGCCCTTCTTTGTGCATGATGGTCACTCTCACTATGGTACAAGGGTCCGACTAGTCGCCACCTAACAGTGGCTGTATAGCAGGGCTCGGCTCAACTCCTGTAGAAGCTAGAGCAGGGTTGGGCTGTTGTTGACTCACCCCCTACAGCTTTACGGGCCGGGCATGCAGAATGAACCTGACCACCCTTGGCGCCCTGGGAGGGTTGCCACGGTGACTGTGGCAACTTAAAGAGGGTGTAAAGGTCAGGTCAGCGGCGTGGTTATAGGGAGATTTTTCCTCTCCACTGATCTGGAGCCAGAGGGATCTGGCAACACATGCTTTGTTTGCCCCCAAATCCATCCTGAGCTGTCTGTTCTGTCTGCCTGCTCCACCACTACTACCACCCAAACAACCTCCTTTCCCTCCATTACCCTCCCTCTTCTGCTCTGTTCAAATGGGCTCCCACCACAGTGCTGTAAAGCTGCATTACATTGGCCTTATTTTGGACAGGTGTTTGCGAAAGTGAAACCTCTCTTACACACACACACCATTAGCCTCCCCCTGCCTCACATCTTCCTCTCTGACAAGAGGTTTCAACTCGCTATTTGCATTTGATGTTTGCTCCAACAGAATCGGTCTAACGGACACCAAAACACATTGAGACAATATTTTACTGTAATAGAGGACAAGTTAACTTTTCTAACGATACCCTTTTTATGTCTCAACTACTTAAATTGTGCATAGAGCAGACACTACTAAAACGAGAGTATCAATGAAAATTGATTTTGGAAAATGTATGCTCCATTTGTCGTGCACGGCATTGGGGTACCATGTATCGCTAGCAGCACTTTGTGTTTTATAAATGTGCAATAACCATAAAGCACAATTTTATAAGGAATTGGCAACTCGTTCTCATTCTGAGAAATAAGGTAGGCCACTTGATTTCAACACCTGAACAAAGTGGACAGGCTAACATGCTTTTCAAACAGTTAGAGACAAGGGTGTGTTAATAACAATTCAACTGTTCAATCTTGTTATCTAGCAAATAGATCCAAGTTGGCTAAACTTGAAATATAAAGATTACCTGGCTAATCACTAGCATGTGGACTTGAGCGATTGTTGATGAGACCTGTGTTCATTAGTTAGTCATTATTATTGAATGTGCATTATGCATGGTTCTAGTTAAATTTGTAACAAAAAGGCATTTTCATAAACAGATTTGAAAGCCAGATCATTGATTATTGCACACAAAAAAAGCAGGTTAAACTATTTTTTATAAAATAATTACATTCATAGTGGGTCTTATGGTTGTGGAAGGCTTATATTTAGCCAAGGTATAACTTCACAAGCCCTGAATTCATTTGATTATTGCTGACTGTTTGAAATGCAGTGTATTTGACCTTTAGTTGTACAACAATGCTTATTCAGAGAAAACATTTAAAAAATTGAGATATATATATATATATTTATATAAAAAAAAAAACTAAAAAAAACAAGATATGATTTTTAGGCCATATCACCCAGCCCTAGCCACATGTCGCAAGGATCTGTACACAATTCCTGGAAGCTGAAAATGTCCCAGTTCTTCCATGGCCTGCATACTCACCAGACATGTCACCCATTGAGCATCTTTGGGATGCTCTGGATCGATGTGTACGACAGCGTGTTCCAGTTCCCGCCAATATCCAGCAACTTTGGATAGCCATTGAAGATGAGTGGGAAAACATTCCACAGGCCACAATCAACAGACTGATCAATTCTATGTGAAGGAGATGTCGCGCTGAATGAGGCAAATGGTGGTCACACCAGATACTGACTGGTTTTCTGATACACAACCCTCACTTTTTCTAAGGTATCTGTGACCAACAGATGCATATCTGTATTCCCAGTCATGTGAAATCTATAGATTTAGGGCCTAATGAATTTATTTCAATGTACTGTTTTCCTTGAATGAAATTTTTGCATGTTGCGTTTATATTTTTGTTCAGTGTAGGAAATGGAATGATTGTAATTGATGGGTTTATGTTAGGTTTATGCTGTGTATAATATATAGCCCATATTCAGCTTATATTTGAATGGCAGTGGTTTTAGATGCCACTCTGTCTTTGTGAATGAAGAGAGTCAGACACTGTCTTTCTTCACTGTTGGAAACCTGTCGGCAAATCACATGCCTTGAGTTGTCCTCGTTATTAGTGCACGTGCAGTGTTTGTGTGTGCACACATCTGTCATGTGAGAAGGGAGATGAGACTTAAGAGTACTCTTATGACAGACAGTCAGTCAGAGCCTTCTGAATGGAGATAAATGTCAAATGACACAACCATACTTCACCTTTCAAACTGGAGCAGAGCAGCGCTCCCCAACAACAACGTGATAGGGGATGACACCAGGAATAGATAACATGACATCACTGCACAGCTCCGGAGATGATATCTGTCCTAACTTTATGGATCAGCCTCAGTGTCTGTCTGTTTGAGCAGCACAGCTTTGATACCAAGCTGGCAAATATCTTGTTTGGGTGTCACATAAATGCAGGCCTAGCAGCCCCCTCCAGTACTCCCTGTTCCCCCATGACTGCGTGGCCAAGCACGCCTCCAACTCAATCATTTGCAGACGACACAACAGTAGTAGGCTTGATTGCAAACAATGACGAGACAGCCTACAGGGAGGAGGTGAGGGCTCTGGGAGTGTGGTACCAGGAAAATAACCTCTCACTCAACGTCAACAAAACAAAGGAGATGATCGTGGACTTCAGGAAACAGCAGAAGGAGCACCCCCCTATCCACATCGACGGGACCACAGTGGAGAAGGTAGAAAGCTTAAAGTTCCTCGGCGTACACATCACTGACAAACTGAAATGGTCCAACAGCGAAATTTGGCGCAACAGCGAAATTTGGCTTGGCACCTAAAACCCTCAACTTTTACAGACACACAATTGAGAGCATCCTGTTGGGCTGTATCACCGCCTGATACGGCAACTGCACTGCCCGCAATCAGACTAATAAATAGCCTTCACTAGCACATTAGAGGTTGCTGCCTATATTCATAGATTAAAAATCACAGGCCACTGTAATAAATGGAACACCAATCACTTTAATAATAATGTTTACATATCTTGCATTATTCATCTCATATGTATATACTCTATTCTACTGTATCTTAGTCTATGCCGTTCTGACATTGCTTGTCCATATATTTAATTATACAGTACCAGTCAAAAGTTTGGACACACCTACTCATTCAAGGGTTTTTCTTTATTGATGACAGCTTTGCACACTCTTGGCATTCTCTCAACCAACTTCATGAGGTAGTCACCTGGAATGCATTTCAATTAACAGGTGTGCCTTGTTAAAAGTTCATTTGTGGAATTTCTTTCCTTCTTAATGCGTTTCAGCCAATCAGTTGTGTTGTGACAAGGTAGGGGGGGTATACAGAAGATAGCCCTGTTTGGTAAAAGACCAAGTCCATATTATGGCAAGAACAGCTCAAATAAGCAAAGCGAAACGACAGTCCATTACTTTAAGACATGAAGATCAGTCAATCCGGAACATTTCAAGAACTTTGAAAGCTTCTTCAAGTGCAGTCGCAAAAACATCAACCGCTATGATGAAACTGGCTCTCATGAGGACCGCCACAGGAATGGAAGACCCAGAGTTACCCCAGTTCATTAGAGTTACCAGCCTCAGAAATTGCAGCCCAAATAAATGCTTCACAGAGTTCAAGTAACAGACACATCTCAACATCAACTGTTCAGAGGAGACTGTGTGAATCAGGCCTTCATGGTCTATATGCTGCAAAGAAACCACTACTAAAGGACACCAATAAGAACAAGAGACTTGCTTGGGCCAAGAAACACGAGCAATGTACATTAAACTGGTGGAAATGTGTCCTTTGGTCTGGAGTCCAAATTGGAGATTTATGGTTCCAACCGCTGTGTCTTTGTGAGATGCGGTGTGGGTGAACGGATGATCTCCGCTTGTGTATTTCCCACCGTAAAGCATGGAGGAGGTGGTGTTATGGTGTGGGGGTGCTTTGCTGGTGACACTGTCTGTGATTTATTTAGAATTCAAGGCACACTTAACCAGCATGGCTACCACAGCATTCTGCAGCGATACGCCATCCCAACTGGTTTGTGCTTAGTGGGACTATCATTTGTTTTTCAACAGGACAATGACCCAACACACCTCCAGGCTGTGTAAGGGCCATTTTACCAAGAAGGAGAGTGATGGAGTGCTGCATCAGATGACCTGGCCTCCACAATCACCCGACTTCAACCCATTTGAGATGGTTTGGGATGAGTTGGACTGCAGAGTGAAGGAAAAGCAGCCAACAAGTGCTCAGCATATGTTGGAACTCCTTCAAGACTGTTGGAAAGCATTCCTCATGAAGCTGGTTGAGAGAATGCCAAGAGTGTGCAAAGCTGTCAAGGCAAAGGGTGGCTATTTGAAGAATCTCAAATATAAAATATATTTTGTTTGGTTTAACACTTTTTTTGGTTACTACATAATTCCATATGTGTTATTTCATAGTTTTGATGTCTTCAGTGTTATTCTACAATGTTGAAAATAGTAAAAATAAAGAAAACCCCTTGAATGAGTAGGTGTGTCAACTTTTGTCTGGTATTGTATATTCTTAATTCCGTTGCTTTACTTAGATTTGGGTGTATTGGGTATATGTTGTGATATTACTTGTTAGATGTTACTGCACTGTCGGACCTAGAAACACAATCATTTCGCTACTCCCTCAATAACATCTGCTAAACACGTATGTGACCAATAACATTTGATTTGTAATAGAACTAAGATGTCATAAGCAAGCTTCGCCCTCGTGTAGATCTGTATGTGCTTAAGGTAACTCCTCAATCGTTGACTATCGTCATACATGACAATGAATTGGTGAAAGCGCATATATTAAAACATTTTTCTTCACACAAGCCAAACAAGTTACATCAATAAAGACAACACCTTAAAAGACAGAATCCTAATTGCCGAACCCATATAGTATCAGGATGGTATTGTTGATCCACTTTCACCTCCAAATGGAGTGTTTTGAACAGACTGTGGGAAGTTTAGCCTGTAGGTTCCCCCCCGGCCTTTCATGTTATGTGGAATTTGGTGGAACAGCTGCTTCCAAGAGGTTATCATTCTCTGTCAATGTACAAAATAACTTGTGTCAGGTGGGGGTGGCGAGGGAGCCCCCCTGTAAACACAGGTGCATGCACACACACAGACAGTACAAAGAGACTCACATACACATTTAGATCTTTATTGACAAACAAACTACCAAATACACACGCACACACTAGGGCCCACTGACCGGGCTCTCTTCATGCTGTGTGGATTAAAGCCCCAGCCAGGGCTCTGGATTCTGTCCAGTGCTGTCTGAGTGTGTGTGGATCATAACAGAGTGGCCAAGTAGTGTTTCTCTCTGTCTCTCTCTCATCCCCCCCTCTTTCTCTCTCTTTCTGTCTCCCTCTCCCTTTCTCATCCTCTCTTCTCTCTCTCGCCCTCTCTCTCTGCCCTCGCAGCAGGCCATGACTTGTTATCTGATGATCTTTTCCAGATAGCCACTGAGTCTACTGCTCTCTCTGCTCTGTGCTGACCACTGGCCAGAGGAAGTAACAAAGGTGAAACGGCAGGTGTTTTTTAACAAACAGCCAGTGGTGGTAGGATATTGATTTGCTATGCTACAGAGATAGGGAAGGAAGTAAGGACCGTTGTTGAATCAAGGGTTGGTCTGATGTGAGCCTGACAGGCCTTGGTCTCGGACAGCTCAAAGCTTTGCCAACTTCAACTTTCAAATTCCTGCACATTGCCATTTGAAAAGGAATGCATTTGAACTTCTTTGCATTGTATTCTCGGTACCTGTGATCAACTTGAAGAGATGCTTCACGAGACGTTGCTTTTGATCAACAGAAGTTAGTGTTTTTCTTTATCAGAGAACATAAAATAATCTCTAAATGCACAACCCCTTGTAGCTGGTGTTCCATTGAGTTAGAATATGTGCACACGCTCTTTAGAAAGGAAACGTCTATACATTATTAAAGGGTGCACATCTATTGCAGGGTTCCCGTGCACATCTATTGATTGAATTAGAGATGCCCTTTAAAGGTGTCTTTCTGTCTCTCGCTCTCACATTCTCTGACATTGAGGTGCTTGCTGCTCCAGTTCCCCAGGTACTCAAGAGCTGCACAGAGTTTATTGAGAAGCATGGCGTGGTGGACGGCATGTACCGCCTCTCTGGAATCGCCTCCAACATCCAGAAACTACGGTAAGACACACACACCCTCTGTCTCTCTCTCACACACACACACAGACTTGGCAGCGCTATCCGTTAAACATGGGTCTGCCTCATAGGGCGTTCATATAAGTAATCTCAAGTGTACACCCGCCACCAACTTCTGAGAATTTGTTCAGCCCCCGGTGCTGAGCGAAAACAAAGGTGTTATAACAACATGGACCTTGACTACCAGGTGCCATTGTACTCAATCAATATCAGTTAATGTTCAAATGAATACAACTCTCGTCACATGAAGTAAGGGGTGGTACCTAACTCCCAAAGATAATCCACGTATGCCATACATCACATAAAAATTCCATCAAAGATTACTGGCACTGTAAACAAAAAATCCCATCATATTTTCCTTAGCATGCTATATGTGGATTTACCTTTGTGTGTCGGCACTGTGGGCATCCCTCGACAACAACGTGTGTGGGTGCGTGTGGACATCCCTCGTCAACCGATTGACTGGCCATAATTTGTAGCAAAAGATGAGCCCTAACTGTTCTCTTCCCTTCACATTTTTGCACTGTTCGTTTTCACTCTGCCAACCGAGAACCCCGATGTCAGCTCACCCTGTAATTATAACATTTTGGACTGTGAAGAGGATGGAATGTTTGGCGTCTCGAAGCCAAGCGTGATGTTCTTTTTTTGTGTGTATTTATGGGGCTTTCTTTTCTTTTTTCCCCTCCTGCAATAAGTATAACCCTTACCCTGCAATAAGTATTTACATGGTTCAACTCAGGTCAGGATTGAGATTAAGGAACAGCCTCAAAATTGAAATTTCCAATTGTTAAAGATGCACTATGCAGAAATCGCTCCGCCATTTCCTGGTTGCCACAAAATCTGTTGCGTTAAATAGGAAATGTGCCCATCTGGTCTTGGCATGTGCCAACAGCTCGCAGATGCGGGTAGGCTAGTCTACATGAGGTTATTATGGATAAGAGCGAGAATATTTGTGAAATGGCAGTCAAGCATCGATCATCATGTCACCAGAATAAGACCCTCGATATTTGTTGGAAAGGAGCAAAAAGCTCATTACCTTTCACCACCCTGTGAAGTTAATCATAACTCATTTAATCTGTAGCCTAGTAAACTGCATGGTTTCCCGAGTCGTAGTGGGAGAACCACACACCATAATCATCGTGTTTACTTCGATATGATGGTTCTTATATCAATATTTGCGTATTAAATACGTTTCCACTGCCATTTCTCGCATTATTTATTTTACTGACACAAAACAATTGTCGGACTGACACCATGTCGAACGAATAAATTATCTGTCGCATTTATACAATTGTACCGAAACTACCTGTTTCCACCACAGCTGTCCTGATTATTTTATTTTTTTATATATCATGACTTTACATGCATAAAACTGGATGGAAACGTGGTTTATGTCTGTCTCTCTCAATTCTCTTTCCCTCTCGCTCTCTCTCCGTCTCTTTCTCTCCCTCCCTCCCTCCACTAGGCATGAGTTTGACTCAGAGCAGATACCCGACCTGACTAAAGACGTGTACATCCAGGACATCCACTGTGTAGGCTCCCTGTGCAAGCTCTACTTTCGTGAACTGCCCAACCCCCTGCTCACCTATCAGCTCTACGAGAAATTCTCTGTAAGGACCTTCTCTTGGCACAGTATAGGCACAGCACCCTCCCTGAGTGCACGTCTCCTCCACCCAAAATAAAAACATCACGCTTTCTCACACTAACATGTTGCTGGATGGTATTTATTAGGTTTCGCACTGTCCCGAGCTGGCGTTGAATTTCCACGTCCAAAATATACTGAACAAAAATATAAACGCAACATGCAACAATTTCTAAGATTTTACTGAGTTACATTTCAAATAAGGAAATCAGTCAATTGAAATAAATGAATTAAGCCCTAATCTATGGATTTCACATGACTGGGAATACAGATATGTATACCTTTAAAAAAAGGTAGGGGCGTGGATCAGAAAACCAGTCAGTATCTGGTGTGACCACCATTTGCCTCATGCAGTAAGACACATCTCCTTCGCATAGAGTTGATCAGGGTGTTGATTGGGGCCTGTGGAATGTTGTCCCACTCCTCTTCAATGGCTGCGCGAAGTTGCTGGATATTGGCGGAAACTGGAACACGCTGTCGTACACGCCAATCCAGAGCATCCCAAACATACTCAATGGGTGGCATGTCTGGTGAGTATGCAGGCCATGGAAGAACTGGGACATTTTCAGCTTCCAGGAATTGTGTACAGATCCTTGCGACATGGGGCTGTGTTTATCATGCTGACACGAGGTGATGGCGACGGATGAATAGCATGACAATGGGCCTCAGGATCTCGTCACGGTATTTCTGTGCATTTAAATTGCCATTGATAAAAAGCTATTGTGTTCGTTGTCCATAGCTTATACATGCCCATGCCTTAACCCCACCGCCACCATGGTGCACTCTGTTCACAACGTTGATATCAGCAAACCGCTCACCCACACAACGCCATACACCTGGGTCTGCGGTTGTGAGGCCGGTTGGACGTACTGCCAAATTCTCTAAAATGACATTGGAGGCGGCTTATGGTAGAGAAATTAACATTAAATTCTCTGGTGGACCTTACTGTAGTCAGCATGCCAATTGCACGCTCCTTCAAATCTTGAGACATCTGGGGCCTCCCGAGTGGCACAGCAGTCTAAGGCACTGCATCGCAGTGATAGAGGCGTCACTACAGACCCGGGTTCGTTCCCGGGCTGTGTCACAACCGGCCATGATCGGGAGTCCAATAGGGCGGCGTACAATTGGCCCAGCGTCGTCCGGGTTAGGGGAGGGTTTGGCTGAGGGGGCTTTACTTGGCTCATCACGCTCTAGCGACTCCTTGTGCCGGGCCAGGCGCCTGCAGGCTGACCTCGGTTGTCAGTTGAACAGTGTTTCCTCCGACACATTGGTGTGGCTGGCATCCGGGTTAAACGGGCAGGTGTTAAGAAGAGCGGTTTGGTGAGTCATGTTTCGGAGGACGCATGACTCGACCTTCGCCTCCCGAGCCCGTTGGGGAAGTGCAGCGATGAGACAAGAAATTGGGGAGAAAACGGGGTAAAAAAATTGAACATTTTAGTGTCCTTTTATTGTCTCCAGCACAAGGTGCAACTGTGTTATGATCATGCTGTTTAATCAGCTTCTTGATATGCCACACCTGTCAGGTGGATGGATTGTCTTGGCAAAGGATAAATGCTCACTAACAGGGATGTAAACAAATTAGTGCACAACATTTTAGAGAAATAATATTTCTGTGCGTATGGAACAGTTCTGGGATATTTTATTTCAGCTCATGAAACATGGGACCAACACTTTACATGTTGTGTTTATTTTTGTTCAGTGTACATTTTTCTATCTCTGTGGGGTAAGTTCAAGACCCTTTCCAGGTTCAAGTGTCACTCATCTAAAGGGTAATAAGTACTGTATTTATGAGGATGGTCTAATATAATTCCACCTTCAGTGATCTCATTCTCAATTCACCAAACACTACACTTTTGGAGGACTCATCTTGGAAACCCCATTCCAAAACCTAAGCACATGGCATCCACTTTAAACAAGTTTTACAAATAAGACAAACCACACTCTCTCCGACTTGAAATAAAAACCTTCACCAAACAAAATAGTCTGGATGTAAATGTTTGCTAGTTGCTATGGAAGAGAGGGGAAGGAAAGGGTGGAGGAGGCAGTGTTATGTCCCTTTGGCTCAGCCAAGCTTTGTGCAAGTGCCTCCTCTCTGCACCGCCCCTGGCCGAATAACTGCGTGGAGGTGTCGGGCAGTAAGCACTTCCGAACGCAGAGGCACTGACCCGTACCACTCTCTTCCCTCTCCCTCCATCCTCCCCTCCGTCTTCCTCATTCCTCTCCGTTCCACAGGAGGCAGTCTCCGCAGCTACAGATGAGGAGCGGCTCATCAAAATACATGATGTCATCCAGCAGCTGCCGCCGCCGCATTACAGGTTAGAGCAGAGCCACGCTGCCCCCTGCAGGAACTCACAGGATACAACACACAGTACTGTCTCCATAACAGGATGTCAATATATATTCTTTGCATCGGAAGGGTGTCATACATATTGTATATTATGTTATAAAAACATAATGGATGGTTATTGTATTACACTCATACAGTTTTAGAATGGTATGATCTTATACAATTAGGTCAAAAGTTATACATCTTTAGAAGTAGTCAAAGAACACCTCACCTGGTTCAGATATACACTGCTTTTATAACACTAGCGCAATACTACTGAAGCTAATGAGGCTCTATGAAGTAGAACTGGTGTAAATGAGTTGTGTGTTTCATCCCCCATCCTGTTCCCAGGACTCTGGAGTTCCTCATGAGGCACCTGTCCCATCTGGCCACCTTCAGTTACATTACCAACATGCACAGCAAGAACCTGGCCATCGTCTGGGCCCCCAACCTACTGAGGTCAGACAACTTTGTTACTATCTTGTTAAATGTTATTGTTCATATCTCACCAGTATAATCGATAGATTGAGTACATGAAGTTGCTCTGAGTAACTATAGTTGCAACTATAGTCTTGTACCGAAAATGGCTATGTTATGACTGAATTTAAGCCACAAGAAAACATCCCTTCTGCCTTTTTGTTGAAGCATGAGTCGTTGTTGAAAACCATTTGAATTTGGTTGACTTTCCCAATGGCTGATCCCCCATGTTGTTTCCCTACCGGTCTCCCCAGGTCCAAGCAGATAGAGTCGGCCTGCTTCAGCGGCACAGCAGCCTTCATGGAGGTCCGCATCCAGTCGGTGGTGGTTGAGTTCATACTGAACCATGTAGACGTCCTCTTCAGCCCCAAGCTCAGCTCACTCATACGGGAGGGAGCAGGTACGCATGCCAACCTGTTGGGAGGTAATCTATGCTCACAGTGCCATGGTGCAACTGAATCTGGAGGATTCTTTCTTATACAGGATTGTTCTTGATTCTAATTATTGCCAGTGGCATTTCTTTGTCATGTCATTTGTCATGCACAAGCAAATTGTGTGCAAGCAGAATCTACCTGACCCAAGTCTCCCCTGACCCAAAGTTTCCTTTAATTCAGAAAAAGTAGCTTACTCAGAACAACAACATTTATGCAAGTCATTTGTCTCTTCCACAAACAAAGTGTACATGATGATCATTTCTCCCCTAGGACACAACTCGTTGTCGCGGCCCAAGTCCCTGCTGGTTTCATCCCCCTCCACCAAGCTGCTGACCCTGGAGGAGGCCCAGGCCCGGACCCAGGCCCAGATCAACTCCCCCGTCACAGCCGACAGCAAGTACATTGAAGTGGGGGAGGGCCCGGCAGCCCTGCAGGGCAAGTTCCACACTGTCATCGAGTTCCCTACTGAGAGGTATGAACGTCCTGAGGCCCTGGTATCTTTCTAACAGCCGATGTTTGTCTATGAAGTATGGAAATGGAGGAAGCATAAATGAATGACGCGCTACTTAAATGGAAATGTTGTACCGTCAAACCATGAACACATAGTTATATTGTTTCATACAGTGAGGGAAAAAAGTATTTGATCCCCTGCTGATTTTGTACGTTTGCCCACTGACAAAGACATGATCAGTCTATAATTTTAATGGTAGGTTTATTTCAACAGTGAGAGACAGAATAACAACAAAAAAATCCAGAAAAATGTATGTCAAAAATGTTATGAATTGATTTGCATTTTAATTAGGGAAATAAGTATTTGACACTTCTGCAAAACATGACTTAGTACTTGGTGGCAAAACCCTTGTTGGCAATCACAGAGGTTAGACGTTTCTTGTAGTTGGCCACCAGGTTTGCACACATCTCAGGAGGGATTTTGTTCCACTCCTCTTTGCAGATCTTCTCCAAGTCATTAAGGTTTCGAGGCTGACGTTTGGCAACTCGAACCTTCAGCTCCCTCCACAGATTTTCTATGGGATTAAGGTCTGGAGACTGGCTAGGCCACTCCAGGACCTTAATGTGCTTCTTCTTGAGCCACTCCTTTGTTGCCTTGGCTGTGTGTTTTGGGTCATTGTCATGCTGGAATACCCATCCACGACCCATTTTCAATGCCCTGGCTGAGGGAAGGAGGTTCTCACCCAAGATTTGACAGTACATGGCCCCGTCCATCGTCCCTTTGATGCGGTGAAGTTGTCCTGTCCCCTTAGCAGAAAAACACCCCCAAAGCATAATGCTTCCACCTCCATGTTTGACGGTGGGGATGGTGTTCTTGGGGTCATAGGCAGCATTCCTCCTCCTCCAAACACGGCGAGTTGAGTTGATGCCCAAGAGCTCCATTTTGGTCTCATCTGACCACAACACTTTCACCCAGTTCTCCTCTGAATCGTTTAGATGTTCATTGGCAAACTTCAGACGGGCCTGTATATGTGCTTTCTTGAGCAGGGGGACCTTGCGTCCTTCACAGCGTATAGTGTTACCAATTGTTTTCTTGGTGACTATGGTCCCAGCTGCCTTGAGATCATTGACAAGATCCTCCCGTGTAGTTCTGGGCTGATTCCTCACCGTTCTCATGATCATTGCAACTCCACAAGGTGAGCTCTTGTATGGAGCCCCAGGCCGAGGGAGATTGACAGTTATTTTGTGTTTCTTCCATTTGCGAATAATCGCACCAACTGTTGTCACCTTCTCACCAAGCTGCTTGGTGATGGTCTTGTAGCCCATTTCAGCCTTGTGTAGGTCTACAATCTTGTCCCTGACATCCTTGGAGAGCTCTTTGGTCTTGGCCATGGTGGAGAGTTTGGAATCTGATTGATTGATTGCTTCTGTGGACAGGTGTCTTTTATACAGGTAACAAACTGAGATTAGGAGCACTCCCTTTAAGAGTGTGCTCCTAATCTCAGCTTGTTACCTGTATAAAAGACACCTGGGAGCCAGAAATCTTTCTGATTGAGAGGGGGTCAAATACTTATTTCCCTCATTAAAATGCAAATCAATTTATAACATTTCTGACATGTGTTTTTCTGGATTTTTTTGTTGTTATTCTGTCTCTCACTGTTCAAATAAACCTACCATTAAAATTACAGACTGATAATTTCTTTGTCAGTGGGCAAACGTACAAAATCAGCAGGGGATCAAATACTTTTTTCCCTCACTGTAAATATAAATGAGTCGTGTTCTTTAGGCACCGATTACAAAAGGACACAGGACTACTTGTTTTCCCAAATTACTTTTTCCTTCTCTCCATTCACCCCCTACAGAAAGAGGCCCCCCATCAAGTCCAAAAAGTCTCCGGTGGGCAGCTGGCGCTCCTTCTTCAACCTGGGCAAGTCCTCGTCCATGTCCAAGCGCAAGCTGCACCGCGAACCCAACGAATTCAAGGCCATGGCAGGTAAGATTCCCTTTCCTCTTTCCACCCAAACGCCACCCATCACTCTCTCTGGCCCTTCTCACAAATAGACTAAAGTAGAATATACGGTGCCTTCGGAAAGTATTCAGACCCCTTGACTTTTTCCACATTTTGTTACGTTACAGCCTTATTCGAAAATTGATTAAATTGTTTTTTTTCCTCATCAATCTACACACACTACCCCATAATGACAAAGCAAAAACAGTTTTTCAGACCCTTTACTCAGTACTTTGTTGAAGCACCTTTGCCCGCGATTACAGTATCGATTATTCTTGGGTATTTTTTTTATGACACTACAAGCTTGGCACACCTGTATTTGGGGAGTTTCTCCTATTCTTCTCTGCATTTCAATTAACAGGTGTGCCTTCTTAAATGTTAATTTGTGGAATTTATTTCCTTCTTAATGTGTTTGAGCAAATCAGTTGTGTTGTGAGAAGGTAGCGGGGTATACAGAAGACAGCCTTATTTGGTAAAAGACCAAGTCCATATTATGGCAAGAACAGCTCAAATAAGCAAAGAGGAACGACAGTCCATCATTACTTTAAGACATGAAGGTTGGTCAATACGGAACAGTTCAAGAACTTTGAAAGTTTCTTCAAGTGCAGTCGCAAAAACCATCAAGCGCTATGATGAAACTGGCTCTCATGAGGACCGCCACAGGAATGGAAGACCCAGAGTTACCTCTGCTGCTGATGATAAGTTAATTAGTTACCAGCCCCAGAAATTGCAGCCCAAATAAATGCTTCACAGAGTTCAAGTACCAGACACATCTCAACATCAACTGTTCAGAGGAGACTGTGTGAATCAGGCCTTCATGGTCGAATTGCTGCAAAGAAACCACTACTAAAGGACACCAATAAGAACAAGAGACTATTTGGGCCAAGAAACACGAGCAATGGACATTAGACCGGTGGAAATCTGTCCTTTGGACTGGAGTCCAAATTGGAGATTTTTGGTTCCAACCGCTGTGTCTTTGTGAGACGCGGTGTGGGTGAACAGATGACCTCCGCATGTGTATTTCCCACTGTAAAGCATGGAGGAGGAGGTGTTATGGTGTGGGGGTGCTTTGCTGGTGACACTGTCTGTGATTTATTTAGAATTCAAGGCACACTTTACCAGCATGGCTACCACAGCATTCTGCAGCACGCCATCCCATCTTGTTTGGGCTTAGTGGGACTATCATTTGTTTTTCAACAGGACAATGACCCAACAAACCTCCAGGCTGTGTAAGGGCTATTTTACCAAGGAGAGTGATGGAGTGCTGCATCAGATGACCTGGACTCCACAATCCCCCAACCTCAGCCAAATTGAGATGGTTTGGGATGAGTCGGAATGCAGAGTGAAGGAAAAGCAGCCAACAAGTGCTCAGCATATGTGGGAACTCCTTCAAGACTGTTGGAAAAGCATTCCAGGTGAAGCTGGTTGAGAGAATGCCAAGAGTTTGCAAAGCTGTCATCAAGGCAAAGGGTGGCTATTTGAAGAATATCAAATATCAAATATATTTTCATTTGTTTAACACTTTTTTGGTTACTAGATGATTCCATATGTGTTATTTCATAGTTTTGATGTCTTCACTATTATTCTACAATGTAGAAACTAGTAAAAAATAAAGAAAAACCCTTGAATGAGTAGGGGTTGTAAAACTTTTGACCGGCAGTGTAGATTGCGGAGCATGTTTTATTTATTTAATCCATTTTAGAATAAGGCTGTAACGTAACAAAATGTGGAAAAAGTCAAGTCAAGGGGTCTGAATACTTTCTGAAGGCACTGTATATTTTGTCCTAATGTATGTAAACTAATGCCGGTCTGTCATGTTTCAGGAGGCAGGGGGGACACTGGGACGCTCCGATCGGCCAAAAGCGAGGAGTCGCTCACCTCGCTACACAACGTTGAAGGTAATGTTTCATGGGACTTCTCTGACTTCTCTCCTCTGTATGGCTGAGTGAGCCTATTCTTGAGTGGCAGTCTGTGCTATGGTCTAAGTAGTAATGTAGTAGTAGATCGTTTTCTCTAATTAAAAACGTGACTTGTCTTTGAATTGATGATTTTCCCAACCCCCGTAGGAGAGTCGAAGGTGTACCGTCCGCGGCGGCCCCGCTCCAGCAGCGACGCCCTCTCGACCTCCTTCAATGGGGACCTGCTGGACTGCCACACCCGGCAGCACTGCAACTCCTACGACAACCTGACCCAGGGCCACAGCGGAGGCCCCACACGCGACAGCAACGGGGACGAGGGGCCCATCTGCGTGCCCGTCCTCATTTCGCCCCCGCGTTCGGCCGGCGAGGACGTGGACCTTAGCCCACCCGACATCGGCATGGCCTCGTTGGACTTTGACCCCATGTCGTTCCAGTGCAGCCTGCCTGACTGCTCTTTCTCCTTCCCCCTGGGGCTGAGTGATGTAGCCACATGTGCAGCGGGTGAGAGCACCAGCGTGAAGAGGAGCCAAGGCGGTGTTGACAACGGCTCGGCACCAGTCTCACCCTCCTTCCTGGGGAAGTTCACCATCCCCTTCCTGTCACCCGACCTCAGCCCGGCCACGAGAGAGAAAGCTGAGAGCAAGAAGCTGACCTGCTCCATGTCTTTCCCAGACAAACCCTTACAGGCTGCGTCCCCAATAAAGTCGAAGGCAACCATTTTGGCTCCTCTGGCCATTTCAGAGCCGTTTGCCATGGAGTTTCCCAGTAAGCTTACAGAAAGCCACAGTGTTACCCAGCCTTCCCCCCCTCCCTCGGGACTGCCCAGGGACTCTCCTCCGTTAATGGGCTCAGTGCTGCTGAGGACAGGGGAGCCGTCGCTGAGTGAGGCCTTCCAGATGGAGCTGCACTGTAAGCCCTCTGCTTTCGACACTGATATCAACACTGAGAGCCAAGACTCAACAGGAGAGGAGAGCACTGCCCAGCAACCTTCAGCAACCAGTAGCCAGGAACAGCCAGGTCAGTGATACATACAGCCGCTACATTGGCGTTGTTTTCACTTTATTATGTTAAAGGTATAGTTCACCCAAATTATAAAATTATATATTAGTTTCCTTACCCTGTAAGCAGTCTATGGACAAGTAGGTCTTGTCTAAAGACTGCTTACAGGGTAAGGAAACCAATATGTAATTTAGGTGAACTGTCCCTCTAAATATGATTGTCTTGTTTCTTTTTAGAGTATAAGGCCTATGTTTGATTATGCTTTGATTGATGATGCCTGTTTCATTTCTAGGTTTAGTTTCCCCGCCTCATGCCTTTAACACCTTGCATGGATTTCAGCTCAGAGAAATCTTTCCACATGATGTAGCCCGAGTGCCATGCTTAACTCTTCCCCCTCTCTCCTACTCTTGAAGACCAAGCCTGCCTTTTTCTTTTTTTCCCTCGAGCGTGCTTTCTCTTCTCTCTCCTCACACTGCAGTTCCCTTCTGTTTTTGTCCCCATCCCAGGAGCCGTAGCTAGTATGGAGTCTCCAAAGGCCTCCCCCGGCCCTCTCAGCAGCTCCTCCGTGTCCCTCCTTCCTCCCTTGCCCCCTCAGAAGAACTCCGCCTGCATGCTGGTTCTGGCAGAGTCCACCCAACAGGCCTCCATCCTGACCCAGGGGTCCTCCCAGTCCCAGTCCCCCATCAGGCCCATGGAGCCCTCACACTCCCTGGACTGGACCCCTCCCCCAGCCCTGTGCCCCCAGACTGCCCTCAAGGAGGGACCCAGAGCAGGAGCAGCCCAAAACCCAACCCTAAGCCCAACCACCCCAAACATCGCCCCTTCCTCCTCTCTCCCTCCCACCACCCCTACTGACAAACAGCCAAGCCAGTCAGCCAGCCATCAGTCCATCAGTACTTCTGCCAGTGCTAAGTCCCCCTCCACTCCTCCCGGAGCCAGCCAGGATATAGATTTCACCCCACCAGCATCCCCCCACCACCAGTGTCTCACCACTCCCTCCAGCCCTCCTGCCCATGTGTCCCCCACTCGGAAGAGTCCAAAGAGGCAGCAGCCCGCTATGGGCCAGGTAGCGGTCAGCAGCACTGGATCCTCCACCACCACTCCCGGCAGCAAGGAGACAGGTGTCCTGCCACAGCCTGCTCCTGAGGTAAATTGACTATAATGTGTCATATTTGCAGCATATCTTCGATACATTAACTATATAGCCAACTGGAATTGTTTTTGGTTCATTTTCAGGTCTATGTAAATGATAGCGTCTGGTCGCCAACTATTCCAAAACCCTCGGAGCAGCCAGTGGCAGTTCTGCAGCCTCAACCTCTGCCTCAATCACAGCCTCATATACAGTCCCATCCTCACCCGCAGGCCCAGCCGCAGTTACAGCCCCATCCCCAGCCTAACGCCAGAGTGGCCCCCATCCCAGCCGAGCAGGTGGAGAGACCATGGGAGGCCATAAAGCCAGTACAGCCCCGCATGGAGCCTGCGACCCGCCATCATGCCCATGGGCCAACGCCTCCCGTCCGCTCTATTGAGAGCAAACTGGCAACCACCGTCCTCAGCCACACAGAGGCCGCCAACCCTACCATCTTCCACAACATCCTGGCAGAAGCCTCCACGCCTGAAGAGGCCCTCACCCGTCCTCCCCCTCCCCCGCTAAAGTCTTCCACCCACCAGTCAGCCTACCTCTACCACACCAAGGGAGAGGCCGCCTTACTGGAGCCTCCTGGGGAGGCCTACTACCACCAACGGGCCATTCCCGTGGGGCAACCTTCATACCACTACCGGCCAGACAATGTTCCCCCACACCTCTCCTACGTCTCCAAGTCGGAGCCTCAGATACCTTACAGTGCCCGCACGGACCACCGCTACAACACCCTGGCTCACTCCAGGTCCTACCACCAGTCCATGAAGCACCGCGGGGCCCCCAGGAGTGGCGAGTACATCTCCCCCAGCCTGGGACACCGCAGCCAGGTCTATGGCCCCATGGAGGGAGCCCCGGTCTACCCCACCATCCGCAGAGTGCACTCGCTACATGTGCCCTCAACCATCCGTTCGGTGCCCATCCAGCGGACCGAGGTGCCTCCAGACGACGAGCTCTTGTACTACCAGCGGCCCGTCTACCAGTGCAAGGCCTATCAGCAGCAGCAGCTGCCGCAACAGTCCTTGCAGGCCGACTACCACGTCACCCAGCTCCAGCCTTACTTTGAGAACGGCCGGGTGCAGTACCGTTACGGCCCCTATTCGCCTAGCGCCAACCCGCTGGACGCCCCTTACTACGACGTGGACCCCTACGGGACCATCCGGATGCGGCACTTCCACTCGTTCAGCAACCGGGACCTGGGGCCCACCCTCAGCCGGTCGGGGGGCAAGGCGGGCGGCTACCACTACCTGTCCCGCCCCGTCCTTCCTCCAGGGAAGGAGCAAAGCTTGTTCAGCAGAGACATACCCCCGTGCCACAGCTCCAAGGGAACCGCCTTCTACTTTGCTTGGGACCCCGAGGAGTCGGGAAGGCTCCAGATGCACTCCAGCCGCAGGGAGAGCCGGGCCAGGCAGAAGGTCAGGGGTCCCGTCATGTCTCAGTATGACAACGTAGGCCTGTTCATGCCTGGTGACTTGGGGGGGTACGAAACCCTACACCTGCGCAGTAAGTCAGACCCCAGCAAAGCCTACGGCGTACCGCTAGGCTTCCAGCACGCTCCCCGAGCGTCAGACCCCGACGTCCTCATGTACATGGAGACAGAGAAGCACTGTCAGGGGACCGACACTGGGGACAAACAAAGCAGATCCAGGACCTGCCAGGCCTCCCACTCGCACCAAGCCCAACACCCACCCCGCAACCAGTCTCATCAGCAGGACCCCAGCCGACACAACCCAGCGGACGGAGCTCGGAGCTTCCAACCCCGCTACGAATGGCCCGATCCAGACCGGCATCCAAACATGGCCAAAACCCCCGGTGGTTACCAGGAAAAAGACGACCAGCAACAACAGTCGGCCCCCGTCAAAGCGCAGGCCCCTCCCAAGCCTGAGCGGTCGCAAAGCGTCCGAGAGCAGCAGCAGCACTACAGCCAAGCCACCATGCCCGAACCAGACAGAGAATACTCATACCAGCCCCACGGTGGGCAGCAGAGACACAGCACCATTACGGTGCAGTCCCACTACGACAACATGGATGACTACCACCCAGCAGCAGTACCTCAGCCACAGGCCCCCATGCCAAACCCCCATGGGGGCTCCTCTGGCTCTTTCCCCACCAACCCTGGCTTCACAGGTAGCCACAGCAACAGAGCGTACTCCACTGCCTTGGGCCAGGGTGCCTTCATCCCAGCTGAACTGGCCCTGCAGAGGCCCGAGACAGAAATACACGCAGAATGAAGAAGAGACTTGAGAAAAACGTGTCAAACTAACTTTTGCCCGGGTTTTAGGAAGCAAGTAAGTGACTCAACTCGAGATTAGAAAGTTCCACAGCCTCTGCAGGACAGTGGACTGTCGTCAGACCGTTTCGCATTATTTTTCTTCTCTGTATTTTTTATGAATTGTAAAAATCAAATTATAAGAGACTTTTTACAGAATGTACTGAATTAACCATAATTTCTTCAATTGTTCTAAGAAGCCACGCAGTTGTGACTCATTGAAATGGTAGCTGTTAATATTTTATTTGCTCTGTGACTGTGCCATTCTTAGCTTTGATGTATTTTTGCTATAAAGCAGAGTGAATTTAATTATAATGGAATGCTTTGGTACAGAGGCTTGTTCTTCATTGTAGGAGGGACCAAACATTTTGGCAGTCTTTTTGACCGTGAAAGCATTCTTGCTCATGTATGGGCTAACGACTGGTTATGAGAATGACAATGTTACCGTGGGAGGTGTAAAATAATTATTATTTTAAAATGTTTTGTAGTCTTGTTTTTTTTCTGCCAATTTCAAAGGACTAACTTAATAAAGTTATGAAAAATTTGTTTTTTCTACAACACTTCACACATTGAAATGCTTGCTCAGCTCGAGCAAGTGAATTCACGCCACCAACTACATTTTGAAATAGTTCCCAGAGTGGAAACCATAAAGTAATTTGAATGCATAAATGTTTGGGATCATTTTGAAGAAGAAAAAAATTGAAATAACAATTTTGGAACCAACTGTCTGCTTTCACTGGAATTTGTCAACAGCCAGTCAAATTGACAGAGGATTCAGATTAATCTCATTCAATTTCAAAAGCAGGTCATAAACCAGATTTCCATCAAACTTTTTCATGTGAGTAAAGTACATTGGATAAAAATATCAGGACAGGCCTGATGGAAACAGCACATGTGTTGGTAAACTTTCCAAATGTCGACATAACAAAATACACTAGACAAGGTGGGTTCTTTTTCTGTTAGTAAAATTAATTATGCAAGAAATGGCAGTGGAAGTGCCTTTTATGCGCTAATATCTATACAATAACCATTAGAAGTACATTTGGAGTCACGCGATGATATGGTGTGTGGGGTCCTCCCACTACAACTCGGGAAAGCATGCAGTTTGTTAGGCTACAGATGAAATAAATTCTGAACTTCACAGGGTGGTGAAAGTGCATTATGCTGCTTTCCAATATTGAGGGTCTTATTCTGGTGACATGATGATGAATAATTTAGCTCTTCTGTCCATAATGATCTCATCATGTAGTAGACTATACCCGCACTGTATCTGCGAGCTGTTGGCTAGAGCACACCTGCAAAGACCAGAGTGGGTACATTCGCTATATAATGCAAAAATATATAATTATAATGACAAAACCATCTGTCGCGTTAAATGCAATTCAAACCCATTTAAATTGTTTTTTTTTTATTCGGTACATGGTGATTTAACCGCAAAAGTTATTTTTATGTGCACTGTCATCACGCACAGCTTTTTATCTGCAACATGTCAATTTAATAGAAAAACATCTCTGGTGGGAAAATGCGCAGTGTTTTTATCCGGATTTTTGAATATTCGCATGAAAATCTGTCTTCGATTGGATGGAAACCTAGCTATATTTGCATTTTGAAACCATATATACCTTTGACCAACGTTCCCTCTAAACTGCGCGCATGCAGTTGCCCAGAGACTGCCGCGCAGCTCCCCTGGGACTGCTGCGCAGAAATATCAACCCACAGAGAAGCACGAGATTGAACTTCACTCAATTTTCTAGAGCAGTGGTCATGTCAATCTCCAAGGCATTCCTAGTGGATCGCCAAACATTTCTGTGAAAAACAACAACGATAAAGCCTTGTTTCAACAAACAAAAAATATTCGTCTCGGCCTGTTGCCATTTTCAACCATTTCATGTGTCTGAAGGTACAAACTCTGCCTTTCCAGCGGGCCCAGAGAGCAAATCAAGTGCTCTATAGGGCCTACCGCTGACCAATCGGATGGATCAGATTACCGTGTATACAGTAAGGTAGCAGGCATAAAAAAAAGCTACAGCAAAATTGATACTGTGAGATTTCAAAACGTTTAAAACCATGACTAGAGAGAGACTGTCAACGAATACAGCAAAGAGCTGCTGTTTTTGAGTGAGTTCATGTTTAAGTTCTTACTCGGCATTGTCAACACGTTTATAAACCATAAAATGCGCTTTCTTCCTATTTCCACTCAGTGTTACAAGCACTGCAGCAGTAATGAATGAGTAGGAAAGTGTATCTATAGGCTTGCGTTATTATTACCGGCTTGGGTCTTTTTAATATGGAGGAATATTTCACTTTTCTCATAGGAGTAACAACATGAATTTGTGCATGAGGCAGAAATAATGCGGTGCGACTCGAGTTAACCATCAGCTGGAAGACTGTCCCTTTTTGGTCAGTGGAGGAAAGGGAGAGCGGAGGGATGTTGAGAGGTGGACCCTCAGTCGGTTGCTCTCTCCCTCTGCTGAGACTGACCATCAGATGCAGGCGCCATCAGCCCAGTAAAATAAAAAGCAAATTATTTAAATGTTATGCTCACTCAGCTGTGCCTCACAAGTAATACAACAACGGATATATTACCTGTGTGATCATATAGCCTACCTCAGCTTACTGCACAAACCTCATTGCTACAGTACTGTTTTTAATTGGTTAATGTTGGATAGGCTTACGTTTTTTAAGTAATGTATTTTTTAAAAATCTGAGCGGTAGCTCTCAGCTTGCATTTTGACTTGGTGATCTTGACTCAGAAAAGGTTGGTGACCAGTGTTCTAGAGTTTTCCCTGTTAACACGTTCAACATTTCCCTTTATGGTGACAATTGTGATTGAATCAATGCAATATTAGCTACTTTCAATGCAACATACCGAAACAAAACGAACTATGCAAGAGATTTTGTTGTAGGCAGAACGCATCCGAGTAGGATTCTATTGACACACTACTCAGCCCGTACTTCCATACAGACCAGTGTGGCATAAACAATCAGAGCTGCAGTAGTCCTATATGCAAATAGATCATTACCATATATGGATCTGTGCCATTTACTTTTAACTGGATTGTGTTTACAGTATGAGCGGTACTGAGTAGATGCGCTTGTTTTGAGATCAGAGCGAGAGCTGCATGTAGCCACGTGTGCACATTTTGTTCATATCCTTTGCTAGTTAGTGAGTTATTAACCCAGTTATAGTTTGTAGTCAGCAATAGGGGAGTGATTGCTTCCTACAAGAGCACAAAACCTGTACATTTCTAGACATTGAAAAGAAACTCCGGTAAAGAGCTTTCTTTTTTTGTCTTAAAGGGGCAGTGTTGTATATTTAGAGACAGGCTTGAATAAGCTAAGAAGCCAATAGGCAGAGGTTAGCATAATTTGTCTGATTCTCTATAATAATGGTATGGGAATAATAATGCATTTTATTTTGTAAAAGTGGTTTCTTGCATCAAACACAACAGCATTTTCAGTCACCACCTTGTCTGAAGGACAAGTGGATAAACAGGTTGTCAAGCCCTGCATGTTTTTTTTTTCAGAAGTCTCATGGAATGTAGGCCTAGATTGAACACATTGGCTGCTACTGTAGGCTGAATTATAGAACATGTTAAAATGTTATGGGATGCATTTTCTCCATTGTTTTTGATGGTAGGCCTACATTATGATCAAATAACCATAGTAGCCAACATGGCCACTGTTAAAACTAACTTAAAGGGGGTACAGCCTCAGTATTCACAGTAAACGCTCGCTGAAAGTTGCACAGAATTTTCACAACGGTCAAGTTTGCGCTCAGCAGAGCTGAAATTTGCTCAGTACCAGAAAACATTTGAGGGAACATTGCCTTTGACCATATGTTGTAACCCCCATTGCTTGTGAAGGTACTGTTATCTTTTGCTTCATGAATGGCCCCTACCTGTTCAAATGGATACAAACTGAATACTCCCGTCTCTCCTTTGTTATGGAGCACAGTAAGTGGCTAAAGAACGTGTTTGAATGTGAAAACAGCTGTCTCAGTAAATTGAGTATTATGTTGTTGAATATAACAATAATACAATTGTTCAGGAAATAACTGAGCATTTGTCTGTTGTCAGTGGTCTCTTGCAATATTGCAGTATAGAATGTTCAATGCTACTTTTGATGGAGATCATGTATTCCTGTGAGCCTTTGTCCTAAACAAATTGTATTTTACATAACACAAAGCTCCCTGAGATGTCTTGACTAGACCTAATGATAAACACTTAAATGTGAAGTACTGTGAGGATGGCATACATATTTCAGTGAACCTACTGGTAATTGCATTTTCCCTGTTTGATGCCAGAGGCAAGGAGCCAATTACAAAAGTATACCTATGTATTTGCCACCCGTATGTCACACTTGTAATATGCATTGCCTTTGACTGAGGAAAAAAGAGTGGATGTATAAAATAAAACATCTGTTTATTTTGCTTCATTATACTCAGTTTACAATACATTTATTTCTGTCAGGCCAATAAGAAAATCTACAAATAGTCCAGGGATGCTGCACTCCAGGTTCAATTATTGAACTGAAAGACATTGTGGGTTTGAGGGGGTCCTTCAACATGAATGACAAAATACCACGTCAATGATTTTCTGTTGACCATTGTAAGACTACAGGAAACAGACAACTGTTCAACCACGGGTACACTGGAGTAGGCACAGCGTCCATTCACGAAGTAGCTGAGTCCCAGTGTTGGGTGTATTCTCGTGCAGACTCTGAAGGGCTAAATCCGACCACTTCATTTCTTGTTCTTTCACCGACTCTGTTGATCCTCCATTATCTTGCTCAGCTTCAGGCAGTTCACTCTGCAGGAGGGAAGAAAAAAGGCTTAACCACATGAACGCAAACTAGTAGTATTGTCCAGGCTTATACAGTAGCATGAGTATCGGACATTCCTAAAAGGGTCTTTATTCAGAAACTGATTTCTGAAAACAGATAGAGGACTCATGCCAAAGGCATTTGCTCTATTGGATACCACCAGGGAGAGAAGACACTTCTGTGAGGCCCTTGTGGACTAAAAGGTAGGGTCACTGATGTAAATGTAAGGTCAAATCTTTAAAAAAGGCATTCATTAACTAAACTAGCTATTTACACAGGTAACTGCCAAAATAAAGAAAACACTTGCATAAATGAGGGCTACAAAGTATATTGAAAGCAGGTCCTTCCACCCGGGTGTGGTTCCAGAGTTAATTAAGCAATTAAAACATCCCATATAAAAATGCCCAGTTGTCCATTATTTTGGCTACTATGTTTAGAAAAGATCAGTGTGACTTTGAAAGAGGGGTCTCAAAGGAGCATAGGGGGTTTATTAAAGGGAGTGTCTGTCACCAGGGGTGTATTCATTACACCGATTCTGTTGCAAAACGTCTCGTCTATTAGTCAAATTCCCTCGCCGTTTCGTTTGCTACTTTTTGGTTCTTAAACAGTAAACGGTTTCCATTGCAAGACGTAATGAATCTCAAACCAATTTAACACTTATGTGAGATTCTGGAGCGGCGCCTGAGACAGCGGTTTCCACCACCATCAACAAAACACCAAATGATTTAAATTCTCGTGGATGAATGGTGTTGCATCCCTCCAATAGAGTTCCAGACACTTGTAGAATCTATGCCAAGGTGCATTGAAGCTGCTCTGGCGGCTCGCGGTGGACCAACGCCCTATTAATTTAAGACACTATGTTGGTGTTTCCTTTATTTTGGCAGTTACCGGTTGTACATGTAACATTAGCTACAGTGCCCCTAGTATACACTTTAGGTAGTCAAGTCCAAAGTCTACTTTTAGGGTTTATAGTAGCTTAGGCAGGTAAGGCTTTATAACTACCCATCAGCGATTTGGATTGGGGATCAAATAATAAAAACTCTGATGTATGAATTGTATAGCTAGCTAGCTATTCATTAATAATTATGAGTGAGCCAGATGCAGAAGCTACATCTATGTAACGCGTTAAGTTAGCTATAGCTAGCTAAACCTCATCATGAACATTGTTGCACCATAAACGTCATTGTTGAAAGGCTTTCCTTACCAATGGGATAGTGACATCTTCATAAGGTAGACGGTCTTCCCTCCAAGCGTCATCTGTTAGATCAAGAACCCTGCCGTCTCTTTGAACTTCACTTTCCATCTCAGAATGTTATTGTTGCCTGTTAGCTAACGTAGCTAATTGACTACTGTAGCTAGGTGTGAAGATTGCACAATTAAGTATTCTTGTTTGTTGTGGTGCAAACAACCCGTCGAAAAGCAGTCTGGTGTGGCATGCCAGAAGTCTCAATTAAGTTTATAAGAGGCTAATTTATTTCCCAAAACAAAATGTTTAGCTAGCTAAGGTAAAACGTGGAATACAAAACCCTGTGTGAAGCTGCTTCTTCTTCTATGGTATATTGGCGTTCGCACAACTTAGTGTGCATTCTGCCACCTACTGTGCGGGATGGAAACAGGATTCCCCCAAAAAACTGAACAAACTACTCCAAAAATAAAATCAAACAACTTTGTTGTTAACAATAAAACTTATTCTTCTTTATAATGGCGTTCGCAATAATTTGATATGCATTCCGTCACCTACTGTGCAGGTGAATAATAAGGAGCCCCCAAAAATTGAAATAATGTGGGTAAAAATAAATCAAATATCATACAAACTATCGAAAAAGAAATTAACTACACAAAATCAACACCCTTTTCTGTAAAAAAATCTAATCAGGTCCCTACACTGGCTCAAACGGCTCCTGTGAGGGCTGGACATTTCCTAGCAACAATAGTCCTTGTAGTGCTTCTGCCGTGAAGTCTTGGAGACCCGTAAACTTCTCGGCTGCAGATATAATGATGTCCAGCTTCTTGGACTTCTTAGACACTTGTGCTATTAATGCCACAAAATCCACTTTCTACACAATGAGTGTATCCAGATCACTCAATTGACTTAAAACACTAGCAACTGGTTGCAATGCATCCACCGTCAACACTGTTGACTCTTGCCCCTTCGACTCCCAGCGAGGAATGGGTAAACAGAGGGCGCACGGGTGGACCGCTGGATGCCGTGATCGCAGGATGTCCTTCTGAAATCCCTTTCACCTCGCCCAGTACCCTAATGCAAGTTTGTCCTGTCTTATCCACAGTGGCAGTTCCCCACTATCCACCTGCAATGCCTTAACAGGTGTCATCCTGAAGGCACCCACACACAATCTCAGGGCCCTTGACTGAATCCTATCCAGGCGCTGTAGTACCGTTTTGGCTGCCGATCCGTATACAAAGCACCCATAATCGTCAGTTGTCAGAGCAGCTTACCGATCACTGCACCTGTACACAGCCATTCTGAAATTAGCCCACCCAACTACCTCATCCCCATATTGTTATTTATTTTGCTCATTTGCACCCCAGTATCTCTATTTGCACATTCTTTTGCACATCTATCATTCCAGTGTTAATACGAAATTGTAACTATTTTGCACTATGGCCTATTTATTGCCTTACCTCCATAATTTACTACAGTCGCACACACTGTATATATATTTTCTGTTGTATTTTTGACTTTATGTTTTGTTTACCCCATATGTAACTCTGTGTTGTTGTTTTTATCGCACTGCTTTGCTTTATCTTGGCCAGGTCGCAGTTGTAAATGAGAACTTGTTCTCAACTGGCTTACCTGGTTAAATAAAGGTATAATTTTTTTATTTTTTTATAATAATAATCCAAAAATGACCTGATCAGATACAACATATACAACAGTGTTTGTCTATCCGACCCCCAATCATATCATGCCACTGCCCTCATGAGGTTCAGCACCTTCCTACACTTAATTTCAATATACTCAACATGTCTCTTCCACTTAAGCCTCTCATCAAACCACCCTTCTGCTTCTTCTTCTTCTTTTTTAAGGTTTTATGGCAGACTACACTTATTGGTGTATTGCTGCCACCTACTGTACGGGTTTTTGAAACAACAACACAAAAATCCATATCGGGGAATGGGGTGTGGGGAACCCAACATCATACAAAATACACAAAAATATATAAATAATAACATTTTATAAACATAAAAAAAATTAAATTATCCCACTCCATCAGTCACAGTTCAAATCAAATCCCTAAACAGGCTCACGCCTGTGAGGACGGAGCATTCATCGACAGGATTCCTTGTAATGCCTTGTAATGCCTCTGCTGTAAAATCACTGAGTCCCCAAAAACGCTCATCCGCACTCACAATGCCTATTTTCTCAGATTTCCTCTCTGTTTGTGCTGTGCAGTTAATCAATGCAATAAATGCTACAAAGTCCACCTTCTTAACATGCAACATGTCAGGATCCCTCTGTTGACATGGAATATATCTGGTGTCTACTCCTTCTACCATTATTGCTTCAACTTCACTCCTTTCTTCCACTCTTCTCACCGCCCCTGGATAGGAGACATTCTGGACAGCCCTTATTCTTGCCACCTCCGTCGACTCCACCCTAAGAGGACACTTCAGAAATTCAGGTGCATGTTCACCACCACAATTGCAGCATTTATGCTCAGCTGGCACATGATACCCCTCCTGTCTACATACACATGAAACATTATCAAATATTTTGCATTTATCACACTGCATGGGTTGGGGAATGAAGGCTCTCACAGGACATCTCATAAAACTCAAATACACGTGAGAAGGGAGAGACTTCATAAAAAACAAAACAATAGAATGGATAGAGTGGGCTTCCTCACTCCATCCACTATGCAGGTCAGTCAGTGTTCTTTTTCTTCTTCTTTGGGATTGGCTTCTTCTTCTTTGATGAGGTTTAACGGCAGTTGGCATCCAATAAATGTTGCATTACCGCCACCAACTAGACTGGAGTATAACTCCCTTATACTTTGCTTTAAAAACGGAAATAAATCAACAAATAGCCTACCATCTAACCCTAAAACCACCACTCTACTCCACTATTTAAACCTACAGTTGAAGTCTGAAGTTTACATACACCTTATCCAAATACTGTACATTAAAACTCAGTTTTTCACAATTCCTGACATTTAATCCTAGTAAAAATTCCCTAGTTAGGATCACCACTTTATTTTAAGAATGTGAAATGTCAGAATAATAGTAGAGAGAATGATTTATTTCAGCTTTTATTGCTTTCATCGCATTCCCAGTGGGTCAGAAGTTTACATACACTCAATTAGTATTTGGTAGCATTGCCTTTAAATTGTTTAACTTGGGTCAAACGTTTCAGGTAGCCTTCCACAAGCTTCCCACAATAAGTTGGGTGAATTTTGGCCCATTCCTCCTGACAGAGCCAGGTTTGTAGGCCTCCTTGCTCGCACAAGCTTTTTCAGTTCTGCCCACACATTTTCGATAGGATTGAGGTCAGGGCTTTGTGATGGCCACTCCAATACCTTGACTTTGTTGTCCTTAAGCCATTTTGCCACAACTTTGGAAGTATGCTTGGGGTCATTGTCCATTTGGAACACCCATTTGCGACCAAGCTTTAACATCCTGACTGATGTCTTGAGATGTTGCTTCAATATATCCACATCATTTTCCTTCCTCATGATGCCATCTATTTTGTGAAGTGCAACAGTCCCTCCTGCAGCAAAGCACCAGTCCCAAAGCATGATGCTGCCACCCCCGTGCTTCACGGTTGAGATGGTGTTCTTCGGCTTGCAAGCGTCCCCCTTTTTCCTCCAAACATAACGATGGTCATTATGGCCAAACAGTTCTATTTCTGTTTCATCAGACCAGAGGACATTTCTCCAAAAAGTATGATCTTTGTCCCCATGTGCAGTTGCAAACCGTAGTCTGACTTTTTTATGGCGGTTTTGGAGCAGTGGCTTCTTCCTTGCTGAGCGGCCTTTCAGGTTATGTCGATATAGGACTCCTTTTACTGTGGATATAGATACTTTTGTACCTGTTTCCTCCAGCATCCTCACAAGGGCCTTTGCTGTTGTTCTGGGATTGATTTGCACTTTTCACACCAAAGTACGTTAATCTCTAGGAGACGGAACACGTCTCCTTCCTGATGAACCAGACTTGTGGAGGTCTACAATTATTTTCCTGAGGTCTTGGCTGATTTTCCCATGATGTCAAGCAAAGAGGCACTGAGTATGAAGGTAGGCCTTGAAATACATCCACAGCTACACCTCCAATTGACTCAAATTATGTCAATTAGCCTATTAGAATCTTCTAAAGCCAAGCTGTTTAAAGGCACAGTCAACTTAGTGTATGTAAACTTCTGACCCACTGGAATTGTGATACAGTGAATTATAAGTGAAATAATCTGTCTGTAAACAATTGTTGGAAAATGTACTTGTGTCATGCACAAAGTAGATGTCCTAACCGACTTGCCAAAACTATAGTTTGTTAACAAGAAATTTGTGGAGTGGTTGAAAAAACGAGTTTTAATGACTCCAACCTAAGTGTATGTAAACTTCCAACTTCAACTGTATCTAGTCCTACCTCAGGCCAACATCCTGAAAGGAAGGGACACCACCACTCAACACACCCTCTTCTGACATTAAATATCGTACACCCAAATACTTCTCTGCAGCTGCCACCACAACTATATTTTCTGCTACTTACATTCCATCCCTGCAGTACAGTTGATAACCATTGCTATTAATGCTAAAAAGCCAACCGTACTGGCACAAATCTACTACTCACTGGGATCCTCTCGGGGTCCCTCACCCATGACCCATCCTCCTCCACTTTCTTCAGTGCCTCAGCATACAACCCCCTCTGCACTACTCTGACTCTGGCCACTTCAATCTGCCTCTCTTGCACCTGACACTTCCGATCCCCAGCAACATGAGCAACTTTATCCACCGAAACTACACAATCCTCTGTCCCATGCCCTCCTGCACATTTCCCACATCTTGGAATCTCCCTCCAACACACTGCTGCAACATGACCATAAATGTTGCACCTGAAACAGGGCAGTGGATTCTGCATAAAATCTCTAACAGGATTAACTGTTAGACTTTGTCTGGTAGAGACTCTGACTCAAAACTCAAAAAGACTGACAATGACTCCTGTGTTTCACCAAGCTCCCCACCGGGTCATAACCCCTTCCTCTTCTTCTTTAAGGTTTAATTGGCTGACTACATCCAAAAAGGTGTAATGCCGCCACCTACTGGGTGGGGTGAAGATTTTTTTTTTTTTTTA